AGCACGCATCACGTGTTTAACGCGTTATTCTCGGCTCACATGCGTTTTCCCGTGAAGTGAAATGCGGAATATGTTTTTCCCTAGTGTTTTTCTCATATCACTAGGGCGAAACTCCATTGTATCTGCGAAGTTTCAGATCGATTATTATCAATCTCGAAAAATAATTTCATTCTTAGCATTGTAGATATCCAATTGACATGCATTGTTGAAGGAGTCGTCGAGTGACAATCTGCACGCGTGCGCAAGGTACATCGAGAGGCCGCTACTCATCGGAGGTTTCAAGTGTGACTTTCGAGTGTATGTATTGGTGGTCAGTGTGCACCCACTGAAGGTTTACATCTACTGTGATGGTCTAGTGAGGTGAGTCAATAGTAGCAGTGTTGGTGATTTTGTGAAAATTTGGGGGAAAATTTGGGAAATTCTTAGTGGTTTCTGTACAGTTCTATTCGAATTCGTATGTAAAATTAATGAGGAAACTCCTGGCCTCAGCTGAGGAAAGGGGATATCTATAAATCCAACACTGTCGTCGCAAACGTGGGATGTGCGTAGGTGATCATTTTTGGCGGTTCCTACTCTGTATTCCCATTGGAGTTTTACCCTAGTGATATGGAAAACACTAATGAGAAACATATCTCACGACTACTGCATATCACCGCGAATATCGCATTTTTAACAGGATATTACGCCACTCCACGTAAAACGCATGAGACTCCATTGATACGCCACGAACGTTTTTACTCGCGATAACGCCGGAAATGTTTTCTACAATTGTTGAGAACAGCAATTATTCAACGGCTCGGATATAGAAACTGAACCGCTGTAATATAATATGAACATGTACATGCGTGCAGGGTCTATGTTCCAGGTTTGGGACGAGCCGGTATGACCTTGCCACATTATCGGACAAGTTCTCGCATCTCACCAACAGCTCGATAAATAAATTATCACCAACGCTTGCGACTGATAAACACGAAATAGGTAGCCTGAGGGGCTGGTATAAATCGAGAGCTGTTGTTATTGCAGCATCGTGAATCACATGATGCCGTACAATTTCAGGTTTAGCAAATGAAATCTGATTTCTGTGGGAGGGAAAGAGTTTCCCGCAGAATGACAGTTCAAATTCGTGAAGAAATTCATGAAGTATTCGAGAACTAAAGTTCGTATTCATCGAACACAATTCAAATGATGAACGGAGGCGCACTCGGTGTTGACTAGATTTAAATCAAGAATACCATAATTATCACCTCTTCGGAACAAGGAGTGGTATGGAAATTCACTGCTCACATGCGTTTCTCGCGATGAGAAATGTGCTTTTAACATTACGGGTGAAACTTCATTATAGTATATCGACTTCTCGTATGGCGTTATTATTCTATCGCTCATCGACTTGACACAGGGATACTTCTTGAGAAGGTTTTGACGGAGATTAGCATTCGTGGCTCATTAATAATGAGAATACATGAAGTAGTTGTCATATACTGTTGATGCTGGAATTGGAAGAATCTCAAGAGTATTGATCGAGTATTGAAGTCGTTTGAAAGTAGATGCATGGCTTCCGAATTCTCGGCGTTTGACAGGCCCGGGGTGTAAATGGGAGTTCAAGCAACTAGAAGCACATTTCCGTTGTAACAAAGTGGATGATAAGTTTATGTGGTGCAAGATAATCAATCTTGTGAATGCAACACTAGTGAATTTGGTAAGTCGGAGCAGGAAATCATCCAAACAACTATAATGCTTGTCGGAGAAAGTCATTTACCATTTTCCACAAGGCTAGGAACGCATTCTTCAATCAGTGTTTTAATATATGTTCGCTTTCCTCAGCTGACCCTAGGAGTTTCCTCACTCAATATAGGAGTCCATATGCAAACTAGGGTAGAAATGTACAGAAACCAACAAGAATTTCGCAAAATTTCATCAGAAATTCCATATTGTCACCAACATATGTGGTCTACCATGTGCACATTTTCCCACACTGGTTTTCTCAAAGTGTAAATGCCATCACATTAGGAACATCATTTTCTCCATTGTTATCAAACCTTGGGTAACGTTATTTCTCAGAACTAAATGGTCAGTAGCATTTGTGTTATTACAGATCCCGACGGTGCCTTGCAATTCTGGTCGGCAGAATTACTTTGAACTTTTCGGCTTCGACGTGGTTGTTGATGAAACGATGCGCCCATGGCTAATAGAAGTCGGAAACGAATGCGAGGAATTTCGTGGCGCAGTGACGCTGCTCAGGTGAACTGCTCACCAGCACTCCAAGTTGATTGTTCTGTTGATGAGGCTGTGAAAAGGCCGCTGATTGAAGACCTTGTGGACGTTGTCTACCATCCTGATGTGAATTCGCCAAGTTATGGTATGGAATTGCACGCATGCACAACTACCTGTCAGGTGCATGCCCCTGCTTTCCCTTTATCGGATCCTTCAGAATGCGAGAAGCCACGTATCACTTGTCCACGATCAGTCGGTGAGCCGCTATGTGTGTGTTTGATGATTGTCAATCTAACCCAGGAACCTATAATGTTCCTGGAGGGAACTCGTTTTGAATTTCCCACACAGATACTAGGAACACAGTCT